CAAGGTACGATGCAGTGACCATAGAATGGTACGGTCTCGAATTCGCCTAGACTTGAAGAAGGAACGACAGAAACTGATACGCAAGAAGCCAATCAATCAGCTAGCACTGAGAGGGAAAGTACAGGAATTCAGAGTGTTGCTGCAGAACAGGTACTCGGCTCTTAGTGAGGAAACCAACCATAGCGTAGATACAATGAATGATAATCTGACGAGTATCATTACGGAGTGTGCAGTGGAAGTTGGAGGCAGGGTAGTAAGACAGGACACTGGCAAGCTTTCCCAGGAAACGAAGAACCTAATTAAGAAGCGTCAAATCATGAAAGTGTCAAGTACAACAGACAAAATAGAACTGGCAGAGCTTTCGAAGTTGATTAATAGACGTAAGGTATGCGATGTAAGAAGGTATAACATGGAGAGAATTGAACACGCTCTGAAAAACGGAGGAAGTGTCAAAGCATTGAAGAGGAAACTTGGGATAGGCAAAAGTCGGATGTATGCACTAAGGGACAAAGAAGGCAAAATAACTACCAATATGGATAGGATAGTTAAAATAGCGGAGGAGTTTTACAGAGATCTGTAGAGTAGCCGAGACAACCACGACCTTAATACTATAAGAACTAGCAGTAACCCAGATTACACCCCACCAGTAATGATAGAAGAAGTCAGAAAAGCTTTGGAGAGCATGCAAAGAGGCAAAGCTGCTGGTGAGGATCAGGTAACATCAGATCTGCTGAAAGATGGAGGACAGATTGTGTTAGAAAAACTAACCACCCTGTTTACGAGGTGTCCCCTGACGGGAAGAGTACCAAAGTCTTGGAAGAACGCTAACATCATCTTAATACATAAGAAAGGAGATGACAAGGACTTGAAGAATTACAGGCTAATCAGCTTGCTCTCTGTAGTATACAAGCTATTTACAAAGGTAATTGCTAACAGAGTAAAGAAAACATTAGAATTCAATCAACCAAAGGAACAAGCAGGATTTCGAACAGGCTACTCAACAATTGACCACATTCATACTATCAATCAGGTAATAGAGAAATGCTCAGAGTATAACCAACCACTATACATAGCCTTCATAGATTACGAGAAGGCGTTTGATTCAGTAGAAATATCAGCCGTCATGCAAACACTGCGGAATCAGGGCGTAGATGAAGTATATATAAACATTCTGGAAGAAATCTACAGGGGATCAACTGCTACAGTAGTGCTTCATAAAGAAAGCAACACAATACCAATCAAGAAGGGTGTAAGGCAGGGGGACACAATTTCCCCAATGCTATTTACCGCGTGCTTACAGGAGGTTTTCAGAAGCCTAGAATGGGAACAGTTAGGGATAAGAGTTAATGGAGAATACCTTAGTAACTTGCGCTTCGCCGATAACATTGCATTGCTGAGTAACTCAGGGGACGAATTGCAACTCATGATTACGGAGTTAGACAAGGAGAGCAGAAAGGTGGGTCTTAAAATTAATCTGCAGAAAACGAAAGTAATGTACAACAACCTCGGAAAGGAGCAGCGCTTCGAGATAGGTAATAGTGCACTTGAAGTTGTAAAAGACTATGTCTACTTAGGGCAGGTAATAACCGCAGAGCCTAACCACGAGATTGAAGTAACTAGAAAAATAAGAATGAGGTGGAGCACATTCGGCAAGCACTCTCAAATTATGACAGGTAGATTGCCACTATCCCTCAAGAGGAAGGTATATAACAGCTGTATCTTGCCGGTACTTAGCTACGGAGCAGAAACCTGGAGACTTACAAAGAGGGTTCAGCTTAAATTGAGGACGACGCAGCGAGCAATGGAAAGAAAAATGGTAGGTGTAACCTTAAGAGACAAGAAGAGAGCAGAATGGATTAGGGAACAAACGGGGGTTAAGGATATCATAGCTGAAATCAAGAAGAAGAAATGGACATGGGCAGGGCATGTACCGCTGGTCATTAAAGGTAACTGACTGGATTCCCAGAGAAGGGAAGCGGGTTAGGGGGAGACAGAAGATTAGGTGGGCAGATGAGATTAAGAAGTTTGCGGGTATAAATTGGCAGCAGCAAGCACAGGACCGGGTTAACTGGCGGAACATGGGAGAGGCCTTTGTCCTGCAGTGGACGTAGTCAGGCTGATGATGATGAATCTTTATTCTCAACCTCAAATAAAATCGAATGCAACGCGCACCTCTCTACCGATAAATAGAATCCAAAAATTGCCTGCGCATGAAAATGAACTTGAAACCGCGTTGACAACAGCCTCCCGTCAGAAGAGTCAGACGCAGTGTGATCGCTATCACATAATGCGACAGACTACAAGTTTGCATAGAATGTCTTCGTGCACGACTGAGCTGAGCGCGTTGTAATTTGTTGGCTTGTGAAGTGTAACTAGTGACATCCCGCTGTTATTATGAAGGTTGACGTCAAGTGAAAGTAATTTTGCACGGTGCAAACAGCTGCGTCGCGCCCTTATGGGTGTGCAAGCCAGTGATTGCGAGTGTAACAGAGGCAGGAGATCACCTGCATGTCGACCAGAAAGAGATTTCACGGACCTAAAACGTGAAAATAGGTTTTTGGCCTGCTGAAGCTACTCTATGTAGATAGTGCTTGAATAGGTAACGAATCCAGACAAGTACGCACCCAAATGAGGTGTATGTAGAAGCACATGAACCATTGGGAGAATATATTTTCTATTCAATGAAAATCCCTTCCTACTTTTCCTGTCGTCAAACTTGGATTACGCAAATTCATCTTTTGCCCGCGTGGATATTTGGTCGACGTTTGGTTTGAGTGAAGGTGCTTTTTTTTTCTTTTCGACAAAACCTGAAAGTCGTTGTGAGATGCGGTGTCGGAGTAAAACTGTTGTATAACCAAGGTTTTTAGTACATTATTTCTATGAGAAATTTGCCCGGACCAAATCAATTTGTCGTAAAATGCAAGTCGTTGTGAAACCAGGGGACGTATAATCGAAGTTGCACTGCATCTGGTTCTCACCTCGGAGTTCCATAATTTCGTGTGAACACCATCAAGCTGTTTTCTTTGCAAGTGTAGTGCCGCGTTACACACGGAGAAAGAAGCGAGTAATGTGTCAGCCACGTGCAAGACAGAACATTCTCGGCCATGGCTAGGCTGGACACGGCACCTGCAATTGCTTCTGTCTAGGCCAGCGTCCCAATAAAGCTGCAACCATAGAACGGCCTTGGCAGCTGCGATCCCGTCTCATTGCTCTACATTTAGTGTCCATGGATGCACAAACAAGCGACCGGCGATAGATGCTCAACACATCAATGCACGAACTTCACTAGCTTGAATTCGCTTTCAAATAGAAGTGAAAAATCATCACTGCTGATTATAAGTCGACGGCTTATTCGAGATAAAAATATTTACAAAAAAAAGAGTGACTAACACCGGTGCCACACACACAGAAAGTGGACGAGGAGATGACCGCCATCATAGGTGTTTTTCGAAGGTCGCAGGTTTAAATCCAGCTGGTAGGAAGATATCTTTTCGTCCAGTTTTCTTTTTTCACATTTACATTCCAATTACTTCTAATAACATCCCCTATACTTTCTCTAGCATTATGGTCTGTTACTTCTCACCAATTTTGTGTCTAACGAAAACACAAGCCCTTAGGTTTGCATTTGGTAGTGAAGGCATTCAGTTCCCAAATGACAATTTCTTCAGTGGAGCTGTTACACGTCCAAAATAGATTACATTTGACTTCATGATGTCGATCACAACATAATCTGTATTGAGCAATTGTAAAGTAGTAATAAAAAGTAAATATGCACTTACAAGCTTGATACACCTCTGAGAAAAATTAGGGGACCTTAAAGCTTCGCCTTTAGGAGTTGAATGCCAAAGTGACATCCAGTTCTTAGTGTGTACTTCAAACCCTTAGTGCATAAAACCTTTTCAAATTCACTATGCACCCACTACATGGCTTTAAGAGAATAAGTGCAGTAGTGTGCGTGTCTTTTGTAGTGGGGTACCGGCTTTAAACCATGAAGCCATTATGATAATCACATTCTGATGCCCGTCGTCAATGGACGCTACCACCCATTATTACTGCAATATTTCATGTTGCATTGTGAAGATGAAAACTACTTTCACTGTATTTCAAGCAGAGGAAGTTCTTTTCACTGTTTTCACAAGCAGACACGTGGCCGTGTGGTAAAACATCCGCTTGCCACGCAAACGACCCGGGTTCAATACCTAGTTGGACCCAAACAACCCTGGTTCGTTCCCCACTTTGCTCCAGGTTTTTTTATCAGCTGTTTATTTTATTTGCATCGTTTCAATTTTTCAGTCGCGCATAAGATGATTTTTCACTCACAACCAACAACACCGACACCGACACGGATGGCAGAATTTCTGCAAAACGAGCTCTTTAACACTGTTGCGTTAATAATTAAACATAGAAAGAAGTATATTATGCTGTCACTACCTCGTTGATTTGTTTCACGACATTGCAATCGACCGCAAAAAACTAAGCTAACGCTACTTGGATCATGAGTGTAAAAATAAAATGGCGCCGTCACATCCAAAATACAGTGCCTGCTAGCTGAAGATTTTCGATGCGTGATAAGTGCAAATACAAAACGTGAAAAGATTGTTTCCACCTGAGCAGAATGTCGTTTTATATAATCTATGCATTTCATCAGCTGTGCCATCAAGAGTATGCATTTCCCATTCAAACGAGTTCTGCATTAGGCAGTAAACAATGGCATTTGGGCAAACGCCATTTCGTTCGTCCATGTGTCACCTCGTAAATGGCATTCCATCTGAAAGAAGTAAATGCTATTTCTTCTGCCTGTGTGGCCCGGGTATAGTATTCAAATAAATAGACTAGAAAGACATGTTCGATCAATGCAATGCAATAATGCCACGGAAACTAGGGGTACTGGTCCGTGATTTTTCTGGCGTGTGCGACTATTCAAAAGCTTTTCGTCACGAGCGCACAAAAGGATTGAAGAACAACCTGACCCTCAGGTTGAGCATGTGACAAAAACGCACCTGGTAGATGAGGTCAAGCACTTCTGGTGCAGTCTCCAGCAGGCAACGCTGGTATAGCAGGCGCAGCAAACAAGGCAACAGAGGTGGAACCCATTCGCTAAGTGGCTGCAAGAAGAGAGATCAGATTAAGCCTACCAACAGAGAAAGTAAACTTGGGTGGGGGGGTTTGGCCTAATTATAATAATGTACACTGCAAACAGTGGAAAAGTGAAAATAAATGTAGTGTGAGCAACAAAATTCAACTGCATTTATTCACAGGAACCTTTTCCCAGAATACTAGAAACATTTCATCCAAGCTAGCACACAGCAAGACTGCTTAAGAACAATGATGCATCAGAAGTACGAAATTGACTGAGATGTAGTGTGCATGAAAATATTCTTGCAACATGCCTTTTCGAAACCCATCGTGCACGATGTCTTTCAACTTGTGCTTTAGTGCCTCCAAGCATAATACGCAAATATTGTTACGAATAAATATAGCACCTGGTACTATATAAACTCTTTATTTAGGGCGAACTTGTGCCCGCAAACTCAAAACTAAAAATGGTCAGCCAAAATGTCTCTTGCTCGCTGACTTGAACTTCGTCGGTCTCTTCATCTGCCCCTCGAGTCTGAAAGCAGGTCCCGTGGCGTAGTATCGTGGCGCATGCAGGACGGCGTTCCATGGCGCAGCTTTCTTGCTACTTGTGTGGCGGCTTTTACGAACACGAATTGTGGCACGCGTCTCCTGCGATAGTCGAGCTGTGGCATTAGTCCCCCTCCTAGCACGCATCGCCCCTATGCGTAGAGCCGGCTGACAGTTTCTAAACGATAGGACTTGTCCTTGTGTTAGACGACGTGAGTCAGTTCATTTGTTCAGTTCCTGTCATAGTTCGGTTTCATACGTACTACATAAACAACTTCAGGGAGATTCCTGCGTCGTGTTGTGCATACTTGACCTTAAGGGATCACTTCGTAGTTTAATGGGCCTAACTGACAAAGAACCCTGTAAGGGCCAAAATAGCGCCGCATAAGCTTTTCTGATAAGCCACGTGCACGTAAAGGCGTCCAGACCCACACTTGGTCTCCAGGGGAGTACCGTATTTTCCGGTCTATAAGTCGCACCCTTGTATAAGTCGCACCCCCCTCAAAATGGCAGTTTATCCAGAAAAAAACGTATATAAGTCGCACCGGTGTACAAGTCGCACCTGCTCACCCGGCCATCGAGTGCCGCGTCATGAAAAAGCACTACGAAAATTCATGCTAGAGGCGGCCGTCGTGCTTGCAAGTTTCCAGCTGTTTGCACACACGCGTGCAAGCTCTTCCCAACATACATAAACACAATATTTTCAGTCTGAAGTATCTTTATTGCGATGACTAGCAGCATTTATTCAAATCCATCGAAGTCTTCTTCTTCTGAGTCGCTGACAAATAGCGCAACTTTTTCGGTTGTACTCCGGGCACGCCCTCCGGCACATCACTGTCGTCCTCCGACTCGCTCGATTCGGACTCAACATCGGTCACGCAGGGGATCAAACCGGCCTTGCGAAAGCCCGCCACAATGATCTTGTCAGATATTGAATTCCATGCTTCACTCACCCATTTCGCCACATCCCCTAACTCAGCGCGTCTCATGCGCCCCGTTTTAAGGAAGCTGTGTTCACCCTCCAACATCCATGATTCCCACAAACGTCGCAAGCCGGCCTTAAAGCTGCGATTAACCGAAATATCGAGTGGCTGAAGCATCTTTGTCATGCCGCCGGGTATGATTACAGACATACAATTCTTCAAACCGATCTTTTTTTTTGACAACGTCGGTGATATGTGCCCGCATACTATCCATCACCAGCATTCCTGGCTTCATGTGGAAGAATCCGTCGGGTCGACGTGAAAAACAGAGGTCAAGCCACACACTCATCATTTCTTCGTCCGTTCAACCCTTTGTGTTCGCCTGAACCACCACTGTAGAAAGAAAAATACCTTTCGGCAAGGTTTTTCTCTTAAAAATAAGCATGGGAGGCAGCTTGGTGCCCTCTCTGCAGCAGGCGAGCACAACGGTGAAGTGAGACTTCTCGTGGCCTGTTGTCTTCACCGTGACAGTCTTTTGGCCTTTCTCGGCGACCCTTCTCCCAAGCGGGGTGTCGAAAATCAACGGTACATCATCTATGTTGATAATGTGGCTCGCGCTGATGTTCTTCACTACTTCCTCCCGCACGAATGAGCTAAAGCGTTCCAGCTGCACCTGGAAGTCGTCAGGAAGCTTCTGACACACTAGTGCGGGCTCTCATCACAAGCTGATTCTGCCGCATAAAGCGGAAGCACCACGACGGACCACCATTGAATCCCACAGCGTTTGTCTCCGCTGCCAGAGCCTTCGCCTTCAGGCGCAGCTGCACTGTTGATGAGCCTCTTCCTTCGGCTCTCTGTTGCAGCACCCACGTTCGCAGGCTACACTCTAGGTGCGGCCAGCGTGCCTTCTTGCCGTGGTTGGCCTTCTTTGTAGACGTCACTGTGCGGAGGACGCTGTGGGCTTTGCGCCAGTCCCGGATCATTTTTTCGGCGACATCAAATTCCCTCCCTGCAGCACGATTTTTATGTTCTTCGGCAAATTTAACTGCGCGCAGCTTGAACTTGGCATCGAAACTTAGCCGACTTTGCCTTCCATATGGAGCCATGGTGCGGTTGTCAGATGAGCGAGGCCGCTGAGCCTACACCACACGCTACGACTGGCACAACACACGCGACGCACGCACCAAAGCAGCCGCGAGTGCGGACGGAAGTGACAGCGAAGTAAGCGGCTCGGAAACCCAAACTCGCCTTTCATCATTTAAAAATTTTAAAATCCCTGCACATTTTCACCCCTCTTTGATTATTTATTTTCTGTGCTAAGCTATATCAGCTGTGTTATTTCTAGAGAGTTAATTTACCACTATTTTTATTTTCTTGTAAAATGCGGTTTCTGTGCATGGCAAAAGCGGGCGCACGGCAATATCCAGGCTGCCGAAGCGCCGAAGCGGCCGAAGCCGCGGCATCAAACCCGATTTTGACTGTACATAAGTCGCACCGTTGTATAAGTCACACCGACGAAAAATTCAGAAAAAAAACGCGACTTATACACAGAAAAATACGGTACTGCATGTCCCTTCGTCTTAGATTGTAACGGTGCACGTCGACGTCCTGCTGTTGAATGATGCGGTTCTTCTGCCCTTTCTACATATTCGCTTATGTCAGAGTCCTCTTCATTCGTGCTGTTGACAGGCAGAATCGCGTCGAATGTCGTTATTACTGTCCGACCATAAACAAGTTGAAATGGCGTGAAGTGGGTTGTCTCTTGTACTGCGGTATTGTATGCAAACGTAGCATATGGTAATATGGTGTCCCAAGTCCGATGCTCGACGTTTACACACATCGCGATCATGTCAGCAAGCGTCCTGTTCAGCTTTTCAGTTAAACCGTTAGTTTGCGGATGGTACCCGGTAGTTCTTTTGTGATCGGTGTGCGTTAGTTTCATGACAGACTGTACTAGCCTGGCAGTGAATGCAGTTCCTTTGTCAGTTATAAGGACTTTAGGTGAGCCCTGTCGCAGCACTATCTGGGTCACAAAAACTGAGCCACTTCATTTGCCGTTCCTTTTGTGAGAGATGACGTCTCGGCATACCGGGTCATGTAGTCGGTTGCTACGACTATCCAGCGCTTGCCGAACGATGACACAGGAAACGGTCCTAGCAAATCTATTCCGACCTGCTCAAACGAGACTTTCGGTGGCTCTATCGGTTTCAAAAGACCTGCTGGCTTTAGGTGTGGTACTTTGCGTCGTTGGGATTCTCGGCATGATCTTACATAATGCTGTACTGAATCCATCAAATTTGGCCAGTAATATCTCTGGCGAATTCTTGCCAAAGTCCTACTAATGCCCAAGTGACCTGCCGATGGGTCATCATGACACGCTTCTAAAATTTCCGTTTGCAGTGACGATGGTATCAGCAGTAGGATCGTTTTACCGGTGTGTTAAAAGTTTCTCTTGTAGAGAACGTTGTAGCGGAGGACGTAGGAATGTAGTCCATAGACGAAAACTCGCGGTACTTCGACTTGCTGCCCCTCTAAGTATTGAATGAGCACAAGTAATTCTGGGTCCATTCACTGATCATGAGCCATCTCCGACACATTCACAGCTCCAAGAAATGCGGAGTCTTGTTCATGCTCAGGAGACGAGGTCTGGACTGGTGCACGTGACAAGCAATCCGTGTCATTGTGCTTGTGGCCAAACTTGTAGACTATGGTGATGTCATATTCTTGTAGACGCAGGCTGCATCTAGCAAGTCTTCCGGAAGGATCCTCGAGGTTCGCAAGCCAGCACAATGAATGATGGTCACTGACGGCTCGGAATGGTCTACCGTATAAATATGGACGGAACTTACTGATGGCCCATATAACTGCGAGACATTCCTTTTCCGTAGCTGAATAATTATACTCAGCTTTCGACAGAGTGCGGCTTGCACAAGCAATAACTTTTTCTTCCCCGTTTTGCCACTGAACAAGAATAGCACCGAGGCCAACGTTGCTGCCGTCCGTATGAATGTCTGTTTCGGCCTCTTCATCAAAATGAGCGAGTATGGGAGGTGACTGCAAATGCCGTCGAAACTCAGAGAAGGCGTCTTCTTGCTCTTGGTGCCAGATGAATGGCACACCTTCCTTCGTAAGCCGTGTCAGTGGTTCCGCAATCTTGGAGAAGTTTTCAACGAAGCGCCTATAGTAGGCACGAAGCCCTAGGAAACGTCGCATAGCTTTTTTGTCTCTTGATCTTGGGAAATTTTCAACCGCACTGATCTTATCCGGGTCTGGGCGGACACCGTGAAAACTGACAATGTGCCCGAGGAACCGAAGCTCCCGGAACCCAAAGTGGCACTTTTCGGGTTTGATCGTAAGTGCAGCCATGCGAATAGCGTCTAGTACCGTTCTCGATCTCTGCACGTGCTGCTTGAACGTAGTGGAAAAAATTACTACATCATCAAGATAGACAAGGCATGACTGCCATTTGAGGCCGGAGAGCACAGTGTCCATCATCCTCTGGAAGGTAGCGGGAGCAGAACACAAACCAAATGGGAGTACTTTGAACTCGTAGAGTC